TATATAAATATAAACTGTTTATTTTGGCTAAACTTCACGTGCGCCAAAAGTTTATAAACAAACGAGAATTGTTGCAGAGAGCGGTGTGTGTTATTGGCCACTAAAATGGCCGGGTCTGGCGAAGTGAATGAGGTTGTTTATGATCATCGTATACTGCGTGACTGGTCCAATGTGAATAATACCAACGGCACAATGCATCTGTCCAAGGATATGATATTTAATGACGGCCATCGTCTGTCCATCGCGGTCTACAGGTGAGTGTGAGCAATGGAGAAAAGGGAAATGGGAATGGAATGGAAAACGGGAATGAGAAATGCGAATGGGAAATGAAATGGGAATGTGATTGGGACTTTCTATACTCAGCTTAACATGTGAGATCACCCACACACACAGTTGCCCAGGCCAGCATTGTTGTACTTTGCCACACACACATGCATACACTCACACACATATATATAGGCAGTTACACACACACAGTCGCGCTGATAAGCAGCGATTGTCTATGCACTTTTCTAAAAACTTATCAGCCAATGTGTAGGTGTGTGGTTGTGGTTATAAATAAGTATAAATCATGTCGTGCTCATGTCTATCAGTCTCTGATTTTAATAATTTTTCACTTGGAATTTGAACGCTTTGGATCAGCGTAGGGTTCACTTTAATAGAGTGATTCGAAATGTTACACAGATCGTAGCAGCTGATTGACGTTCACAAAACTGACTAAGAAGCCCGTAGAAAGTAGTTTTTCGAAAGAAAAAAAAATGCATATTATACAAATTTAGTTTTATTAAATAAAATAATATACGTTGTACAACTAGGTGCTTATTGTTGCGGGTATTGAATTATTTAGTTAATGATTAAATCGAATTTATGCTAAGTTCCAATATGCGTATACGTAATATTGATAATGGAAAATGTTAATAAAAACTGGAATTTTCATTATGAGAATAATTAATACTCAGAATAAATCTTAGTATATATATGTACATATATATAATTCTTTATAGAAATTTTAAGCACCTTACACAGTCTAGACAGTTGATTGATTGAGTAGTAACAAATAAATATCAAATAGTTTCAGTTATGTAAATTTTATAAACTTTTTAATTATGACTATGAATTAGCAATAAAATTTTTTATAAAATGCTAATAAAATATATGCAAATTTATTAAATATAGCATTATGTTATAAATAATATTTTTTAACAATAGATTAATACTTTGCTTGATTCTACATATTTTTGTTAAATATATCTATTAAGTACAAAATACATTGCAAAAGATAATTAACACAATTTTTTTTTTTTTTTTTTTTTTTTTTTTGTAAGCTGCTTATGTCTGCAAATCATATTTAAATACAACAATAACTGCATTTGACATTTCAATTTGAGAGAATTGTAAATTTTTATGTCTACATTAAGCCAAGACTAACTTCAGTCTTTTATTTTAGCCATGCGCTAAAAGGTCTTTGAACGCGAGTCATAAAATTATATTTGCTGAACGAACGTTGCAGCGTTTATCGTTTATGGAAAAATCGTTATGTTTGGTAAAATCGGCGAAAATGTGTTATGAAAGTGAGCTTCGACTAGCATATACCCTAAACTATGAAGCATAAGTAGTTGGTATTTTCCAGACATTTATATTTATTTATTTTTACCTGATTTTACAAAAAATGTCTGTGTTCGCTTTGGGAGTTGCTATTCATTTGATTCTTTAATTTACTTTTTATTTTATTAAATGCATATGCAATGTATTCTATGTATGAAATAGTATTTCAGTGTTATGCTTAAGTTCTGGTTACTTTAATGCAGTAAAATGTTATTATACTGATACTGGACCGATATAGCCTGGGAGTATATTCTAACATTTATTTATTTATTTATATCTGATATCTTTGTAAATATTGTTTTGTAATATTTGCATAATCTTTATCATTATGTAATATATTATCAGACTGCAGTATATTTTAACATATTATTTTGTAATATTCGCCTACTCTTTAATATTGTGCTACACATTATCACACTGCAATAAATTTTGATATATTGGCTATAAAAATCATTTTTGCTAGCTAACGACTTTTATTGCGTTTTATCAAACAATCGTTGAGCTTGTCGAAATGTGTGAAGTCCGTTTCGATTTGTTATACGTTTCTAAGGTTTACAAATTTGGCATTCTTATAATTTAACATACTCTACAGATAAGATATATAAAACATTTAATATTATTAAATTCTTATTATTATTTAAAAAAACTATTATTTTCTT